CTGTGGTACCAACGTGTGTGTGTGTGTGTGTCTATGCATGCTTTAAAGGCTAATATTCAGTAACGTTGGCCCAGACAACTTAGGCACGAAAAACCAAGAAGAAAGTGTTTGTGTTAGAGCAGAGAGAACTGGCAAGTCTGCAAGCTGTGGAGCTGAGTGTTCATTTTCCCTTTTTTCCTACCAACTGGGTCTGGAACACAGAGGCACAGACACAGGGGGAGGACTTTGATTTTTATTCCTATCCACTTTGGTGTGTTGGCGCTGTAAGCCATGAGCATGAAGCTAAAACAACTTTCCCAGCTAAAGAAGCAAAGTGTGGCTCAACAGGCAGAGCCTCTGTGGAATCTGTTGTTCATGTAGCAGGAGGCCCCCGAGGTGCTGCCCAGCACACTACTTCACCCCAAACCCTCCTGTTCATTCTGCTTTGTCTTGCTACAGCGAAATCAGGAGTGACCCGAAGGCATCTGTCTGCTTTGGGTCATCCATTTGTATTTGTTTTTTTAAATCTCAGATAACCTTCCGCGTCAATTTATTGCTAAACCAGATTTGTTCTTAGTTGTGTAATTGGCCAATCTCTGAGCCCATTGGCTATTGTCTGATGATGAGTTAGTCTCTGGGGACATCGGCCTGTAGTTTAGAGCTTGTCCTCCGTTCACTTATCACAGTCTGACAGATCCACAAATGATGAAGGTTTTTCCAGTGATTGAGGGTGTTTTAAGTCCAGATCACATCTTGGCTAATCTCTATTAACAACTATCTGCATATGAATGCCAGTAAATTAAAGAGCTGAAGCATTTGGGTCATTGTGTTCCGTCTCTTTTGCTCCACACATGGACTGTTTACCTGCATGCAAGCCTATTCAAACATGATTCAAATGAGAAATGAAAAGTTCCTCCACACCCAAAATCTTGTCCCTGACCTTTAGATTCTAAATATTTAAATGCAGAATCTATTCATAGAGTAATTTCCATGTCAGGTCCATGTAGTTGTAGGCAAAACATAGATATGTTCAAAGCAGCATTATTGTTTTTTATGTAACACATCTGCCATGGTTTTATCTTATTAGTTTGTTAATATGTTTGTAAAGGCATCCGATAGACACAGGGCAACGAGAGCTTTACGTTGAAGTTGTTGAAACAGACTAGTCCAATACTGAGTCTTCTTTTTGCTCCATTTTGCTCCCCACCAACTCCTGGGAAACATGCTGTAGAGGTTAACCTTGACTCTTCCTCTTCTAGGTAATTCAACATGGTCTCCATCTTCTCTTTAACTGAGTCTGTGTGCTGGTTGATGCTGGAAATGCAAGGTCCAGTGAGTTTAACTGTATTTGAAGATGCAGTACGCTCATGAGCAGGATGTTGTAAAAATATAAAAACGTTGATTAATGCAGTGGTAAGCCACGGCTGTGTAAAACTCATGTTAAAAGGCAGATATGTCGTGTTTGAGACTGGAAAAGTCAATACAGCAAACAAGCTGCAGAAAATCACTGTGTGCACCACGTGCGACCATGTGCAGTGACCACTGAACATTCTCACCTGTTAACTGTTAACAGAAGCATTTACTGTCTCTCCCTCCCTGATTGTGTTTACTATAAATAAACTGTGGAGACAGTGGAGTGTTTATTTGTTGTACACGCAGCAGCTCAACACAGACTTGCTCACATTCTTCTAAACATCACTGGAAACCATTAATAAGTCAGGTTCCAGAAATTTCAAAATAAAAATACAGAAAAGTATCTTTATTTTAAAATCATTCCAAATCCTAAACTGTAATTACCCACATCAAATACTAAATCAAACCTTATTCATTGTCAGTTGCACATGCACATACTTAGACAGAGGTGTCAGAAAGCAGCTTATTGAACCATCACTACCCTCCCAGTTCAGAGTTTTCCATGAGGGATATTTAAGGGTTGACTGACTCAGTTCATTAAACAAGATCAGACAAAGGGGGACCTCCCTGCAGTGACAGCGGTCAGACCTCTGACCCCAGTCATGGCCTCTGACCCTGAACGGTTGCGATGTAGAGATTTTCAGTCTTGATTCGGTCAGGCCGGTTTGAAAAAGCTGAGTAAAGACATGCTGCAAATGCCTGAGCCTGGACTTCACTTTTTTTTTTGGAAAACCAAGTTGCTCCAGAAAATCAACAGTATGTTATGATTTGATGCTGCCCATCTGGGGTTTATTAAAGTTTCCACAAGTGCTGCTCCCTGATAGCGATAGCTCTTAATAAATAAATCAGAAATCAGGGAAGTTGTGCATTTGAGTGCGTGCTTAAAAAAAGACATGATTAATTATAGAAAATGGTGGTGGTGTGTGTGTGTGTGTGTGGGTGGGGGGGGACTGTTGTGGACAGCAGAATTTCACTATGACCTTTTATTTAAGTTCATTGTATATACAGATACTGGGGTTGGGCTGATGTTACAATGGACATGTTAAGTTATAAAATCGATTGCTAATTTTGTTATTGAGTAATACATTAATGATAGAAAAAAAGCCAATCACAATAAATCCGTACATTTCAATCAAATAACTTTGTCAATACACTAAAAAATGCTTTGATGGCACATAGTAGTAACTTGTGTTGTTTTGCATGTTAGTGAGCTAATCAATGTTCTTTGATTTTAAGGCAAAATCATCAAATATACAACTGAACTATAAATTCAGGAACACAGGATTCACACACATCCCATTCCCTGAAGTTAAAGGATTTAAAAATGCAAAAGAAAAATACAGTAGTGGTAGTAGCAGGGACTAGAAGACTCAAACAGTGGTTTTAATGAATAGGAAATCTTTCCCATAAATGTGTACATGGAGCATCTAATACTGTTCATATAAATGGCAAAATAATAAGAATGATTCTATTCATTTTTAGATAAAGAAACAAAATACAGCATCAGCATAAAGGCCTGTAGTGAGGAGACTTATGAATAAAGCTAATTCAATAACACCTTTGTGCTCTTCAGTCTTAAATTTAAGTGAATCTGCATTATTATAAATTCTTGCCACAATAGGTGATGAGAATCAAGTTCATGTGGAAAACAAAAAATCATACTGGAGCAGAAAGTAAGAATAACACGTCTTTCTGTAAGTTATTATGGTTTTTTATTGTTAATTTAGTTTTTCTTTATTGTTGCCTTTCTTAATACAGAGCATCTTAGGGATTTCACTTTGAGGGGAGGGTGTCTCTGTCAAAGGACAGCCAGCAGCTGGCCACGCCTGCTAAATCCTCCCCACAAAACCCACCCACCAGCTCCATCTGCTTTGCAATTATTCGGCGGTCTTTGAGCCCAAGGATGCGTACATCTGTTACACCAGATCCCTGATAAAACAATGACATGCCTGTTGACTTATAGAGTGTATGACAGTGGATTTAGGAGATGACAGTACTACTCTGCTTCACTGACCTTCAATTGGACTGCTGAGTTCTAATGAGGTTATATATAATGATATTAAGTGAAGTTGGTGTTGTCCTGCATTGAAAAAAAGAGTGTAGGAAATCATACGGGTTACTGTAATGCGAACAGAATGTACATTCTATATGAAAAATAGAAGTATATAAAACAAATACACTTTGAAACATGCCAGCACAGACAAATACTGACTTGTGGTTGAAACTCCAGATTAGAATTTGGGCCTGATCCTGGACCTCAGACTTTCTTTTGACTTGCAAAACAAAGTCTTAATTCCAGTCGTGCCGCAGATCTAAAATACATAATCCCTTTAAGATTCTGCCCTTTACCTGTCTCCATCTTGATCTCACCAGCCAACTGCCTTAATTCAACTATAGAATCTTCCCTAATCATCTGTCCATAGACCTTCACACATTTACATGGGGGTTAATGTTCCCTGTATTTACTATTAGCATAGAGACACTGTACATGAGTGGACACACAGACACGTAGTGTATGCCTGGAGTCAGATAGCTACAGCAGCAGCAGATTAACATGATGTAAACATACACATCCCAGCATAAACAGGCCTGTTTGCACTGGGAACTCTCTTCCCAAGGCTGGGCAAACGACACAGAGAGAGAGAGAGAGAGCAAGAGAATGTGAAGCAGCAAAGAGGAAAGTCAGGGTGGAGAGGGACCTGACAGAGGAATGCATTATTAATCAATCCACAGCTCCCTCCTTCATCCTTTACTCCTCCTCTTTCTCTGCTCACGCCTCCCCTTGTTCCTCTGTGCTGTGCTCTCTGCACCTCCCAGTCCTCTACTCTCTCTTGCTCGACATCCCCAAGTCTTTCCCTTTCAATCTTTTAATCCCCCCCTCCTCCTCCTAATATTCAATTTACTCTTGCCCATCTTCCACTTTCTTGCAAATTTTTTTAACTCCCCAATCCTTCTATCTTTGGTATGAAGCATCTCTGTGTACTTTTACTGAAAACAGTAACACCACAGGCAGAAGCCCTTTGGTATAATGTGTATCATTTGACTGTAATTATCGGTAGCTTGTGAATTGCTTATTATTATCATTGTGCATATTTTTTATTGATGTGAATCTGGAAATTGCAACTGAAGTTATCAAATAAATGTAGTGAAGTAAAAAGTACAATGTTTGATAGTGCACTGTGGTGGAGTAATTGTTTATATACTGTTTATAAAGTTAATATATCTAATGTAAATCAAAAGTACGTTTCATGACTGAATCTTCAAGCAGTTACATTTAAAAGCACAAAATATTTTACTGGTCTTGGCTGCAACTTCTGACAGGAACATGAGAGACCAGTGGCCAAGACAAAGATCAGCCTGAGTTAAAAATAAAAAATTGAAAAGTCAGCTGAAATATTTGTCATGTGACGACACCAGTCATGAGTCAGACCGTCAGAAATCAGCAGTAAAATCGTTTAATCGGCCAGTGCATCATAAAATCATTTTTTTGTCTCACTAATAAACCAAAACCTTAACTGCTGATTTCCAGCGTGCACTAATTCTGTGTACTTTTTACAATGTTGAATGTTTTAATAACAGATTGGGTTTTTCTCTTTTCTGTGTTTCAGGTTGCTGGTTTAAAAACACCGGAAGATGCTGAGATCGAGGATCCAGATGAATGAAAGAGCCCCAGTTCTCTTTATTTATTACCTTCACAATGTGTGTGTGTGTTTGTATGTTTGTGTGTGTGAGAGAGCGAGAGAGACAGAGAGAGAGAAAGAAGGAAATTGAGAAGATATGAATGCATGATTGCATTATGAACGGTAAGATTTCAGTCTATCATTTGCAAATTTTGTTTACTTTTTATAAGGCTCCAATAACTCATATATCATTGTCACAGTATAAGCACATGGTACATATTGTGTTTTGTGTTTGTAACTAGCCTCCTATTTAAGAATGTATATTTGTACGTATGATATACTCATCTAGAAACTATACAATGGACAGTTTTAATATTGTTTCATCTCCTCACCATTAAACCGCTCTGCCAGGACACAAAACATGACAAACACATATCAGAGACATGCATATGAGCAAAAATGAATCTTGAAAAAACATTTCATAGATTGAAAGAAAATTGTTTGGTTTCCTCTTTTCTAATCTAATCTCTAATGAGTGGAAAAGCTGGAGTTAAAATAATAGTGGAGGGCTCTCCGGTGGTGGAACACATCCTCTGGCAGCCATATTGGAGGTCCATGGTTCTTTGATACCTGAAAGCAGCTGTAAATGTATAACTTGGTTACCCAGCAGTTGTGACATGGGTGATTTGCATCTGCTTTTAAGGTTGAACTTGTGTTTTAAAGACTGCTTCATGTGGCTGATTGATTTTTTCATGAACAAAATGCTAGATAAGCAAGCTAACTGTGGGATTTGTCAGGTCATCGTTTTAGTATCACTCAGATTTAAACGCTAACATGCACATCTAGTAGTCGTAAAAAAGTTAGTTGTAGGAATCTTCAGCTATTTCTCTGTCCTTATTTACCAAGCTGAGTGGATCAAGGTCTCATATCTGGATAGTTAATGCATTTTTACAGTCTTCATCGTTTTCACCATTGTTCTCATCAGTTTTGAAAATGCTGAGATTGAGGTGCTGGACTAAAAAGTGGGTGTAGACAGGTCAAATTTAAGTTAAGTTTAAGTACCTTACAATGGACAATTTGATCATGTGGATTTATTATTTCTCAATATGAATCGATAATGGTACTAAAATGTTGTCTTAATCGATCAGAATCAAAGGACACAAGTGAGAACCTGCTTGTAAAAACATAAGTAATACAATTTCTCCTTTAAATTTCCAATGGACCTCCATGATAGAACCGCATCTGGCTGATATGAGTTTTGTGTTGCAACTGAAAAGCCGCTCCAACATTAATGCTCTCTGGAGGAGATGTTGATGGTGCACACATAACAGGGACTGCACCAACCTATATATGTAAGAATATAGGCTATAGACGCAATACCGTAATGGACAACAGCTGCAAGTGTGTGCGTCTGATAGAGACGCGTGTGTGTGTGTTTGTGTGTGTCCTTGTGAGTGTATTAAACATGGGCAATAGCAAAGCATTGGTGCTTCCATCCATGTAAATGAGCTAATGTACAAACTGTAAAACACCAAGGCAATAGGCTGTGCGGCACGTTGTTTGATTTGGCCCACGACAATCCTCCCCTTCACTTTATGTGATACCATCAAAAGATCTGCAATATTCTGCCAGAAACAGACGATCTTTGTCAATAACTGCAACCCTTCGTCCAGCTCATGAGTAAATGTTATATTGAACTGGTGCTTTACTGATAAATTAGGCAAATGCACGGGTGAGCGCTATCGGTGGTGTGTATGTGCAGTATGGGTAGTGAGTAACTTTGATCAGTCCCTCCATCACCAACATGTGCTCCCATGCAGGGTGTTCCCCCATATGTGTGCCCCTCAACATCCATCATCTTCTCAGTGTTTTTAAACTTTTTATGGCGCTACAATGAAGGTCTAACCTTGTGTCATCTACAAAGATGTTTATACTGTTTCTGATCTTTCTTTTGCTGTTTTGTGTGAATATATCTGAATATTACAGCTTAGACATATGGTAATAATTGTGAAGTACTATCAATTCAATGGCTTCCTCTTTATCAATCAGATTGATATTGACTGAAACACCAATATTGGCCCTACGCTGCTGATTAGGTGGAGAGATGAGGCTGCAAATGGGAGGCAATGGAGAATTGGAAACTGTGGATACTTGTCATGTCACTCCATGTCCTCTTAAATACACATGTGTACGCATGCACGCACACACACACACACACACACACACAAACACACACTATTATAATATAGATGTCTTGCCTGCTTGGATAAACTACCTTCACCTACATTGTCCTATCAGCTACAGTACAGTATAACCCCCCCTCCCCCACAACCCCCCTCCCCCCTCCAGCTGGTATTGGTTTTGCAAGTTGTCACATTAAGGGTTAGGGTTCCGATTTTAACTTGTCCGTCTCAACACATCACATAATTCCATCCCTCTTCTTCTGTGATATAGAGATGTGAAATCTACAAGCCTAGGTCTGTGCCAAAATACATTCCAAAGTTCAGCTGTAGCTAAGATGAGGCTCCAGCAGTCTGAGTTTGTTGAATAGAACTGTTACTCACCTGTGTATAAGTTGAATTGGAATGTATGAGGTGCTGTGATGGGGTGCCCATGTTGTTCTGTTGCAGGGGCTGAGAGCAGGCAGTCATATTAGCTTTAAAAAACTGAACTGTGATAAGATGTTCTTTGTTTCCTCTCTGCCCTGTGGTGTCTTAAATAACTTGATCTGATTTTAAATTCTCATGCTACTGCTTATTTGGTAACATCTGAGTGGCACACAGTAACTAAATTACTACATGAAAGAAACATAAATGTCATACTTCCATCGTACTTTCCTCATGCTTTTCCAGAGTTTGGGGTGGAATCAACAGCACCGCACTGAAGAGTTGTTACCACCAACTGTCCTTGATCTGGTTTGAACTCTGGTTGTGCTGATTTTCAAAATAACCATAGGATGAAAACGTGGCTACTGAATATTAAATTTGACTAATCTTTTGAATGCATTTGTCACAGAACAAGGACTGTGGATTTTGTCCTCTATCCTAACTCTTACCCTGAGTAACTTATCTTTTAAAGTAGGAAAAGCAAAGATAAACAATTGGAGTTTTAAAGCGCATATTATCATAAATGTGGGCCAGTCCAGCTTATTTTTTTTACCACAGAGAGCAGCGGCTTTGGGGCAAAAATGAATAATTATGGGATAAATTCTCCCCAATAGTGTTTTGAAAATGCACTTTAAAGATAAATCACTTAGCCCTTACATTCCAGCCTGTATGTCACTTTTATGCACTTCCTTTGCCCTTAATAATAAAATTATATATATATATACTTTTTCCTGGTCTCAAATATTTGAAGCCCACTGTATATACAACATATATACACCCTTTGCTTCGCCTGAGGCAGACTTAACCAGCCCCTCTCCAGTTTTGAACCTTTACCACAGATTGAGGAGAGCTTGTAGAAATGCTGTTCTTGAACTTATCTCGTGGATTTCCATTGTCGTCCCCAGGCTGTGATTGTGCAGCGCAAAAAAAGGGGTGGGGGAGGAGAGGTGGTGGGTAATGCCAGTAAAGCAGCGTGACAGTACACACTGAAAACCATCGAACTGTACCCAGCCTTACGTGGCTTTAAGGGATTGCAGACAGTATTAGCAACTGAATAATTATTTTTGGTGCGCCCCCAACAACCCCCCAATGACACTCTTACTTCTGTGGAGCTTTGGCAGCCTGCAGTCTTGTGTAAAACTTTGGATTCCTGAGTGGGCAGAGTTCCTGAAGGCACTCTGTTCAAACTTAAATGCTCCTCATGTATTTCAGATAAAGTCCAGCGAAGGGAAAGACTGTGTGACATTGCACATTTAGCACTGTGAGATGAGACATTAGAAAATCAATACAAATGTCGAAGGTGGAGATTAAAGAAGCAATGACACACTGAAGTGAAACAGAGATGCTTCCATCATGTTTGTATACAGGGTTGCAAATGTCCTCTTACTGCTATCAAAGAGAAGTCGTATATGGATATACATATATGATGAATATAAATATGAGATATTTTTGGCATCCTTTATCATGTGGATACAAGTGGCGTTGGTTCGGTTGAAAAAAATCCAGCGTTCGTCCTCGCTGTGCTGAACAATGAATTTATGTTTTAACAAAGCTTCTCTCACTTTTAATTTTTCTTCTTGTATGCTGCACTGAAAAATACACCATTTTGACATGTGGTTTGGAAAACAGAAGTGACAGTCACTTCATCAACTGAAACAATATATTATACAGTAGAATAGCTGTTGCATTATTTGGTACAACCTGTATGTAATGTTATTATGGAAGATGTAATGTCCTTCTGTAAATGTTGTTTAATGTTGTTTTACCTGAAATAAAATTGATTATATGATTCAGATTCTTCAGTGGAGCTCTGACTTGCCTCTGTTTTCTGCAGTATATTGCCAGTGATTGTACTATATAACCTCTACTTCTATTTTAACAATCTAAGCTCATGGTCTTAAGTAAGCAAATTCCAGCACAAGTCCAAATCCTCTTTTTTGAGTTAAATGGCAGATAACAAGGTTGCTGTGCCAGGAACTTGGTTCAAGACTCTTAATTAATCATGGGTATGTTTCGGGTGTAACATGCAGTAAACCAAGCAGAAAGCCATGTCCAGTTCTCTTTAAAAGCCAGGTGAGCTTGCACCTAGTGGCAAATGGGAAGGACAGTAAAAGCATGTGAGCAGATCATGGGTGCATTCAAATAGTCTGTTTTGCTTAGAGTGAAATAACCCTGACGTATTTCAGCAGCCACCATAATAAGAGCTGTTCGATTCTCTAAATGATAAGGAAAGGAGCTTCAGTGCTTCCTAAATGATCTCCTGTAACACAGGAAACAACTTGATGAAAGATGAGGAGAAAATGCCGCCCCACTACTCCTTGCGGCAGCAACATTTAAAGTGACACAACCTCGTAGTTGCACCTGGACACAGCCACGTAAATATTAAAACAGAACAGCTGTTTTATTCTATAAAGTTTACATCATCATCACAACTAAATAAAAAGATAAAAGTTATTTCAGCCTCCTGACTGTGGAATGGACACGTGATATTTTTTTCTCCACTTACAGTATAAGGTTTTCTTCACATCCCTCACATTATTCTCAGGACGCGTCCTTCTGTTTTCAACTGAACTTTTATTATATCTGTCAGCGCACAGCACAGATACCTACAGCCTGTGCGTATTTTCTGTGATGAATTAAGTTTGGGTTTTTTTAAATGCAAAGTGAAGTCAGACTTTATCTGTGCCGTAATTCTCCTTTCCTAACTCCAGCCTCTCCTTCACATCTTTCCTTTACCTCATGACGTATTCCATTGGGGTAAAAGAATAATGGTTAGGAAAGGAGATTATTTGAAATACTGTGCCATTACTTCAGACGAGGTTTTTGTCGGTCAATTTACAAAAAAACCACTGCTGGTTTGCAGTGAATGTAAGATATGTCAAAACAAATATGTCAAAATCAAGATATAAACAAGATTTTAACAAAAAAATAACTGGTTGTGTTTGTTTACTAATGTGATTGCAAAGAAAATAACATGTGATACTGACGTGAGTGTGTGAAACCAGAAACCTAACTTGATGGGTGGTGAGCCAGAGTGAATTTTACCATATTGTGTTATGATTGTGTGGCTGTGGATTCAACCATCATAGATGTGAATGTGGCAAGAACTCCCCAGTAGCTTGTCACATGGGAGTGGTAGCACACAGCAGATTTTATAGCTGATAAGTTTGTTTCATTCAACAGTGGTTGGTTTACAATGTCATATTCTGTCATTAGCCAGGTTGTTCACATCTAAACAATGGCATCATTTACTAACAAGAAGCTAATGAAACAGGAGAGGTGGGAGGTGAAGTCGGTCGGCTGGCGCTCTATGCCTCTGTGATATAAGCTACATGCCAAAATGGTGGTATGGTGTTTCAGGTAATAATTAACATAAATGTATTACATAATAATAAGGCATGTCTGATGTCATATTCATTTAAGATCTAACATTCCTTTGTCAATGTACATTTTATGCTACTTTCCTGTTCCCTCCTGTGAACAGACAGACTGGTTACAGCTGGAATGCATTGCTCTCATCTTGTCTGCATTATGCAGTTTATGTATTTTTCCACCTTCAGCTGATTTCTCTTTGCGTAGTAATAAACATTCTCTGTGCAGGGGCTGATTACAGGAAGTTATGCCTTAAATGATACTTGGAAACTACATGAAACATGCTATGCACACAGACTAACATTGCATTGTGCAGGCTTGAGTTCATGACTATATTTTTCAGTTGGTGTAGACAATGAATGCTGTGAGGAGATGAACTGTTCCATTAAAACACAACTTTGACATACATTAGCCATATTCCAATGTAATTGTTAAATGTATTTAAAGTGAACTGGGCACATTTCCATTCACTTCTTTGGAGTAAATAAACTAGACTGCTATTAAATGTGGTCATAACAGGGCAGAGTAGACTATTTTAAACATGGCTGTAATGGACAGAGGTTGTAAAACAAAAGCATTACAAGTTTTTCATCTAAAACCTTGTTAATGTTACGATAGATGAGCCAATTAATAAACACTGCAGTATAGAGAAGAGAGAAAATAAAAGTACACACGTAGCCTTAAAAATTCTTTCCCTGAATTTTTTATAGAGCGTCCACATTTGATTTATCGGAAACACTGGCTGTGAAGATAACAAATTATTTTTTATGGGACATGAGTAAATAAATCCTGAAAACAATTTCTGAGTGTGGAAAAAAAGCATGCCAACGTTGAGCAAGTTATGTCCGTCTGATGGAATCATCCAATAAAGACATAATGTTTACAGATGTTAGAGAGACAACAATACTGTGAAAGTCCTGTTTTCAACCTGAATGAACGGATTTCTTAGGCACAAACAATAAACTGTTCATATTAAAATATTAGCATGGTTCCTA